TGGCTACAAATATCTGATGACAGCCAGATTTACTTTTTGTCTTTTCTGGAAGAAATGGTAGTGCGGGTCTTGACCAGAAGGTAACAACTGGGTCTGGCCAGACTTAGTTGGGTGACTATAAGTCCTCATCCAAGTGAGCAGATGCCCATGGTGCCCTCACTGGGCAGGATTCTTGGGGATGGCCCTACCTGTCAGGCAGCATGACCCTGTGCCTATGTATGCCCATGCCAGATCAGTTTATAGAAAGGGCCCAGTAGAGCACTAGAGGTGAGGGTAGGGCTAGAGAGATTCCACTAGAGAGATTGTTCATACCGGCCTCCTTGCTACTCCAGCCTGCCCAACATCTTTTGTAATAAATGGCACTGTATCACTCTTATCTAGAAGCTACTTGTCCAGCAATTTCTGTGGATCAAACCCTGCCAGAATCCCAGAAGAATGATGAAGTCTGAGCTCAGACTGTACCACAACAAAACCTTGTCACCATCACTTGTAGAGCATTTCACAGCTGCCAACTGATTTTTACCTACTTAATCCCAGGTCATCAATAGGCAGGAATGCAGAGAAGTTGGGTCACTAAAGCAAAAGCACGCTAGTCTTAGAAGAGCTCCTCAGGTCCTGACTTAAAGCCTATTTATTCTTGTCCTATACACTATGGTAACAAAGTCAGGCATTTAGTTTTCCAGGCCATCGCAGATTCAGAGCAGAAGAGAAAAGGGGAGTAACTCAAGGTAGGAACACTGATGCGGCAAGATGTGATAGATGACAGCAAGTGAAGAGACAGGAAAATTATAGAAAGCGTATTGGAGCAGAGTTAATTACATTCCGGGACCATTTGCAGGGTTGGGGCACATTAATTGCCCAGAGGGGTACTGCTGATCTTTAGCACAAAGCAGCAATACCAAGCGATGACTTGAGGCCATTGGGACAAAGGATAAATGCTGTAGGGGCCTCCCCGGTGGCGCAGTGGTTGAGCGCTGGGTTGCGGGGCTGCCCGCGGCCTCTGCGGCACTGGTTCGATCCCCGGCTGCTCCCCGGCCACCGGAGGAGGGTCCCACATGGTGCGCGGACCTCTCCTGCCGCCCGCTGCTCCCCTCAGCAGTGTACTTCGGTCCTTCTGCCTGCTCTGCTCCCTGCTCTGGCTCTGGTGAATTCTCTCGCCCTCCTGTGCTTCTGACTGTACCCAGTGCTTGTATAAACAAACAAACAAACAAACAAATAAATAAATAAAAAAAAAAAAAAAAAAAAGGATAAATGCTGTATATGCATTCAATTGCTTTTGGTGACACCGTATGAACACATTCTCTTGTTAATGTCCCTCTTGCTTCTAAATTCTCCCTGAATTGATAAACAGGGTTTGAAGAGAACATTTACATTTTTTAAAAAGTAAAACCCTCTCTCAGAAGTAGCACTGTGACAGGACTTCCTGGCTATTCTCAATGGCTAAAGACTTTGCTCCCATCAATCGCCAAGCAGCCAGTCTGCACACTCACTTTTCAGACCCAGGCTGAGATCCACAGTTTGCTCCTTCCTTCCCCCCACTACTCCTCATTGTTTAACTCTGGAGTTGCATAATTTACAGTCCCCTTGTGAAGGGCCGTGTGTTCCAGAGTAGGAAGCTGTCACACTGAATAGAGCACTGCTGGGCTGTGTTCACAAACAGCTTTTCACCATTCCTCTGCGCCCTCAGTGACAGCGAACCTCCTCCTTGCTCGCAAGCAGCTCCTGACAATCAGGGAGATTGTGGGGAGGGGTGCTGGGAAGGACTGCAACCATAAATCCTCTCAAGTCTGCTGTATAATAAAACAGGGTCATAAAACCCAACCAGATTTCAAGTCAGGACTGAAATAAGATGCCCAGAAAACTCCTAATTTGGTCTCTATAACCCAACAAGTTATGAACTAATTTTCTCAGCTGGGAGGGAGCTATCTAGGATGACTATCTTGGGGTGGCGACTGACCTCAGGACTTTGGGTGGGAACTCAACCCAACCCAAGAGCTAGGTGAAATCAAGATACTAGTACAGCTTAATTAGCAGCAGTCCCAGATCCACACGGGTCTGAGCCCTGGGAGACAGCATGTTTGAGGGTAGGAGGCCCAGAGTTCTGCAGGTGATGAAACCTGAATTCAGAAGGCGTACAGATGCATAACAAAGCAACAGGATACCTCCAGCTCTGTAATGTCCTCTCAGTGATGAACCAAGGTGTGACCCTGAGCAAGGTTTTTGGATAACTTCACCAAATCTCACTTTCTTCATCATAAAAATAGGACTAACCAATAGCCTACCTCGAACTGTAGTTAAGCTAATCATGTATATTAAGCATCTTAAGTTACAGATGTGTTAAATAAATGTTATTTCTTTAGAATTGATCTGAATCCTGCTAATTCTAGCTGTAAGTCATTATCTTTGGAATATAAAAATCTAGCTTGTTCATACAAAATAATTTTCATTAAATATTTCTAGTTAAAAATTACTTTTTTATGTTTAATAATTATTAAATAAATTTCTAACATATTTGTAAAAAAAAGCAAAAACAAATGTTATTTCTTTTACCCTAATACTTCTCTCCTATCCTTTTCTGCATAGTTTTCCTTGGGAAGCTGAGGAGAAACAGGGCCACACCATTCTTGCTCTGTCACTAGTGAGTCACAGGAACCTGGACGGGTCAACTCCCTTCCCTGGGAGCCTCACAATCAATAGGCCACCTAGTAGGATTTATACAAAAATTAAGTGAGGCAGACAAATACAAAATCAATATATAAAAAATCAATTGTAGGGCCTCTCTGGTGGCGCAGGCAGTTGAGCGCAGCGCTATGAAGCTGTCTGCAGCCTCCAGTACAGGTTCAATCCCAGCCAGCTGCAGAGATACCCACATAGCGCAGCAGACCTCTCCTGTGTCACCCGCTGCTCCGCTCAGCAGTGTATTTCAGTAGATCTGCCTGTTCTGCTCCCCACTCTGTCTCTGGTGAATCCTCTCACCCTCCCACACATCTGGCCTGTACCCCAGTTCTTATACAAATAAATAAATCTTTAAAAAAAAACAGTTAAGTAAACTGCATTAAAAAAAATCAATTGTAATTCTATGTAACAGATACAAAGTGCAGTTCAAAAAAAAAAAAAAGAAGCAATTATAAGACCATGGTACATAACAAATATCTAGCTATAAATCTAACAAAAAGTATAGATTATACTATAAATTTATATATACTTTATATAAATTTATATAATTTATTTATTATACTATAAATATATATATACTATTTATAGCTATAAATCTAACAAAAATATCTAGCTATAAATCTAACAAAAATCTAACAAAAATAAGACCTCTGTGGGAAACATAAATATTTTAATAACAATTATAATAATGAAATGGTAAAATAAAACATGTTTCATGGAAGACTCAAGATTTAAAGATGCCAGTTCTACCCAAGCAGAGTAGTGGATTTAAAGAAATGCTAGTCAAAATCCCTACAGGTTTATCTCTCTGTGTGTAACATAAACTGATCCTAACATTTACATGCAAACACGAAGGGCTGAGAGCAGCCAGAACACCCAGGAAGATTGCCAAGGTTGGGGCGGGGGATTTGCTAAACCAAATATCAAGACATATCATAAAGTCATGGCAATCAAAAAAATAAAAACAAAAAAACAGCGTGGCACTAATGACATAAGAATTAGGAGTCCAATGGAATGGAATAGAGCCAGAAATAGACACCTGCATACATCAACACTTGACTTAAAAAAGAGGTGGCTCGCCAGAAGAGTGACTGAAAAATGACCTTTTAATAAGTGGTGCTGGGACAAATGGGGAAAAAATTGAAATTGAAGCCCTACTTTACAACACATACAAGACTCAACTAAGGATTAATTAAACACCTAACTATGTAAGAAAAAACATCAAAGCTTTTTAAGAGTGGGAATAAAAAGGAGAGCTTCTGCCACTTCAAGATGAAGAAGCATTTTAGAAATAGGACTCAAAAAACACTAGCCAAAAAGGGGAAGAATGAAAAATTTGACTACATTAAAAATCAGAATACCTTTTTAACATAGTACCCCACTAACAAAGTGAAGAGATAAACCATATATTAATGAATAAAACTGGAAAAGTACCAATAACTTTAAAAAGTAACAAAGGAATAGATACTTCACAAAAAGGAAAAGACAAAGGTCAATAAACATATAAAAATTTTTGAAACTCACTTGTAATCTAGGATCTGTAAAGTAAAACCACAATGAGACACAGCGAGTTACCTATCAAGCTGGCAAAATTAAAGAGCTTGGCAGTACTAAATACTGGCAAGGATTCGGTACCACTCTCTGCTAGTATAAGTGTAAAATGAAAAACAACATGGCAATAGCTAACATAGTTGAATCTTCCCAATAGTTCCACTTCAAAGAACCCTTTATGAATTGATACATCTCAGAATACACACACACACCACCCCAGGATTCATAGCAGCATCCTTCACAACTGTCCCAAACTCAAGATAACCCAGAAGTGTGATGGATAACGTATAGTCATGTATGCCAATAAATATAGCAAGGACATGAAAAATATATAGCATATTCATGAAAATTCATAAGTATTCATAAATGCTACATAGAAAAATTCTAAGTATGTATATACTGTAGAATACCAGATAGCAATGAAAATAAATGAACTACAGCTATAGACAACAACTTGGATGAATTCTGCAAACACAATGTTGACGGAAAGATATGACTTAATAACATAATAGTATGCTTTCAATGACATCAAAACTAGGGAAAACTGAACTCTGTCTAGAAGCGTACATAAGGGATAAACTCTACAGAAAAACAAGGAAGCAAACATAAAAGTCAAGGCAGAGGGAGTTGTGTTCAAGAAGAGCTGTTTAGGGATCTTCTTGGGTACCAGCAATGTCCTCGTTCTTAACCTAGTCAAGGTTACATGAGCTCTGTCATTCTTTTTTTTTTTCTTTTAAACACTAAAATATTTGATAATTTTATGCAGGAACTGCCAAAGTTTTAGTGTTTAATATTTAACAGCACAACTGACCAAGGTCCAAGATGTGAGGGTACCATGTTCAAAAAACTGAGAGGGGGAAAAAATCACTATAAACAACCTGTGTAGTATATGTTAAGAAAGTACACTTTATAATATAAAACCTGTCAACACATAGAAGTTAGTTGCAAATAGCCATTCAGTGTTCTCTTGGCTTGTGAAAATGGTGTTCCTGATTTCAGTGTAAATTAGCAAACTTCAACTCTTCTGTGTGGCAGGTATCTTGTTTTCACCTTCCAGCTCTTCCACCCCAGCCTGTGTCATGAGGTCTGCAATGTTTTTCTCCAGGTCGTCAATGCGACTACTCATATCATCAATTCTTCCAATGATCTGGTCGGACATAGTCTGAAATTTATCCTGCATCTGTTGCAGAAGAGTCTGCATCACTGAGGTGAGATCCTGCATGGTCCTGGGGTCGGTCTCGGCCATCTCCCCGGTTCCCAGCTTGGGGGTGATGTCTTGGACCATCTGAGCTCTGACTTTCTAAAGTAAGTGTATATTTTGCATTTATATTGATCTATATCACAATGAGAATGCTTTTTTGTTAAAAAAGTCTCAATGTCATCTCCTCCTAGAATTCTTGCCATTTCCCACACAGAGGCAGGCACTCCCTCAGCATCCTTGCTCTCCACTGGCCCCAGTGCTTATTATCATCAAGGCATCTCTGCCCTTGAGGGCAGATATGGAACCTGTCTTGGCCATCATTATATCCACTGTCTTCACTGTGTCAAGCACATGGTGAGTGCTTAATATTTCCTCAATTAATCAACTATTGTATTTAGGGATCTCCCAGTAGGTAACAAGTTATTAGGCCTGGGCCAATCAACTGAGTACCAGCAGTGTGATGGAAGGAGACCCAGCACCAGAGAGACTGAGGCCTGGCTCCACAAGGTAATGGCCACATCACCCTGGATAAATCACTTTTTTTCTGATAGTAAAAATGACACAAATAGCTACCATTTGGCGAATATCAACTATGTGCTAAGTGCTTTTAGCAGTGTTTCATCATTTAATCCTCACAGTGTATCTACATTATATTTTTTAAGATCTCTTTTTAATGATCAGAAAACTGAGGTCCAGAGAGATTCTATAATTTTACCCAAATCACACTGAGAGTCAACAAATGGCAAAGTCAAGATCTCCAAAATTCATGCTTCTCTGATAATGCTATGCTGACATCTCTCTGTCTGTAAAATGGGTATACAGTAATGTCTGGGCAGCCTGACAAGACTTGTGCAAGGCTTGAGGGAGATAAAAAATGTAGAAGGAGCTTGTAAACTTTAACATACCACTCAAATGCAAGGAAAATAATACGCAATAAGCATCTACCATGGGCCCACACAAAAGGGCAGATGGTTTCTATTCACACTGAGCTTTCAAGCCTGTTGTAAAGGGAAGCTCTGTAAACAAGAAAACTAGGAACACACATCAATAAATTGATTTAAGGGAGCCACCAAGAACCGCATGTAACAAGGGCAGAGACCAGCAGTGAGTGGCCTGATTGCCTGGCCTGAGCAATGGGCCACTGTCTCCATGCTTGTCTTCTGTCCATCTTTCACACAGCAGCAGGAGGGGGTTTATTAGGCTTACTGCAATTCCTTGGGGGTGGGGGTGGTGTGTGTGTGTGTGTGTGTGTGTGTGTGTGTGTGTGTGTATTAAAACTACATTATATAAGTGAAATCTGTTGAAGTACTATTTACTTTCAGTAAATTCATCCTTTTCAGGTATACAACTTGATAAAAATTTTTTTCAACTTGATAAATTTTCATAAGCAAATACAGGTATATAACCACCACTACAACTGAATAATAGACTATTTCTATCACTTCCAAAAGTTCCCTTGTACCCCTCTGCTGTCAACCCTCTGTCCTGCTATTCCTAGAGACCACTGATAGGATTTCTGTCCTTATGCTTTTTCTCCTTCTAGAATGCAGAAGGATCTTTTAAAACATAAGTTGGGTCAAATGCCTCTCCCTGGCCACCAGGGCACCCATGGTGGCTCTTCCCTATCTCTTTAAAACCATTTTGCATCACTTTCCCTTGCCTGTGGTTCAGCCTCATTGGCCTTTTTCTATTTCTCTCTCATTTCTGCTTCAGGGTCTTTGTACCTGCTATTCCCTCATCTTCAGATCTTTCCTCAGCTGCTTTCTCATCCCTCATCTCCTCCAACTACTCTTCACTGTTTAAGCCCAATTTCCCCCTTTAGAAAATTTCAATTTAGGAAATGACCTTGCTTACTGATTTACTTGTTTACTGTCACTGTCCCTTCCCTGAAACTGTAAGGCCCTGGAGGGCTGGGAGCTTGTTGGTCTCATTAAGTGCTCTATTCCTGAAACTTTGAAAGCACTATCACGTGGCTGGTCTTCTATTGGTAGTCACATGATGAACAAACATGTGCCAAAGAAGCCAGGAAACAGGCCCGTATGGATCAAACTCTAAGGGAAGGATTCAGAGAAGGAATAGGTCTTACATGGCATGTAGGGAGCAAAGAGTAGGATGAATAATAGCCAGGTTCTTCCTACTTCTATCAGCCCTTCTCCAAAGTCCCCCACTGGTGGGGGTCACCCTTGATGGGGCCACACGGTACTCAGAAGACAGAGCTAGGGCCTCTCCAGCCCTTCCCCTCCAGTGCCCTGTCTGCTCCTCTCTGGGGCACAGGTGCTTCACTGGCTTGGGTTCCCCTACATAGCCAGCTTAGGCTCTTCATCTTTTCTCCCCTATCCATGTGAATTTAGAAAGAGGGGGAGCTCAGGGGTGGTAAAGGTACTCTGGAACTATCATCAGCATTCCTCCCCACGGAAAAGCAGCACAGATCCTGGTCTTGTAAAGCAAAATTATTAGTGTATAATCTCTAAAAAAATAGGGGGGAGAGGGAGCTTCCAGGTTCCTGGCCCCACCTAAAGAAGGGTAGAGCTGAGTAGGGAGGAGAAACAAAGACCTGGAGGAGCAGAGACATGTGAAAAGGCTACTTGCTTCTCAGCTTGGGACTTGCACCAGAGTCTTGGGGGTCATGGAAGGAGACACGTGGAGAAGAGACATGCAGAGACATTTGAAAGGGACATGGGTGAGAGACTCGAGGAGAGGCTGACAATGGCAGCCTTTATCTTGACTTTTTTTAAAAAGATTTATTTATTTTTATACAAGAACTGGGGTATAGGTCAGAGGCACGGGAGGGTGAGAGGACTGCCCAGAGACAGAGCGGGGAGCAGAACAGGCAGACGGACCAAAAGCACTGCTGAGAGGAGCAGTGGGTGAGACAGAAGAGGTCTGCCATGTCATGTGGGTATCTCCTCCGCCAGCCGGGAATTGAACCCGCACTGTAGAGGCTGCTGACAGCTCCACAGTGCTGCGCACAACCTGCTCCCCCACTGGGGAGGCCACTTTATCTTGACTTCTATTTTAATTTTGCTCTTTTCCGTCTAGACTGGCCTGGCCCCTTCTGCCCCTTTCCTATGGTTCACTGCCAGAAGGTACCTTAGACTTGTCACAAGCTTTCGGGGGCTCAGCAGCCCTGTTTTAGACCAACTCTGTTTGGCTAGGCATGTACCCATGAGGGGATGGGTAACTTTGGGTATTTTATTGGAAAACTACTATCATTTCTTTTCAAAATTTTCTCTCTATGCATACTTTCTATTAAAGTTCTATCACACTTAGAGTATGTTTTGTCTTTTTGTGGCAGACGGCAGAACCCATTTAGAGTGTGCAAGCTGGGGGGTCCTGGGCTACCTCTCAGTCTGCCTGCTGACAACATTAAGAGCCAAAATCCTACCTCACAGGACTCTGCACTGTTGGTGAAGAGTGCACGTGGACACAACACGCACAGCCCTTCACAATTCCCTGAGCTGATGTCCCAGTTTTCCTTCTCAATTAGCACTAGAGTTCTGAAAGCTTAATTTTGCTATAATTTATTATCTCAGTTGGGGGTGGTCAAGGGAGAAGGAGGGGAATTCCTTTGCCAGGAGAACATCTGTTTTGCTGGTCCTCAAGATTTAAATTATGACCTCAAGATGTGAGCAGTAGCTTATAGATCCTTCAGTCCAGTTTCCTCATTTTTATGTGAAGATACTGAGTCATAGAGAAGTTAAGGAATTTGCCTGGGGCTGCCCAACTAATAGGGGCAGGGCTCGTGATATAACTCAAATTTCTTTACTCCTCCATGCAGATTTATTTTCACCATAAAATCTTAAGTTTGGCTTCTATCCTTTTCCCTCCACTAGAACTGCTATTCTAAAGGCCAGATTGCCTCAATCACCAACATACAGTGGCCGTTTCCTAGTCCTTATCTAACACGGCAATGGCACAGAAGGGAGCCCTGTGGCTACATAGAACTTCTTGAAGCATGTCCCCTCCCAGGGCTCCACAAGCGGCCCCTTTCCCAGCTGTAGCTGCTTATCAGTGTGCGGAAGGCAGGTTCCCCTGCTCGACTCCACAGTGGGGGGATCCTTTCCTGGGTCCTCCTTTTCCTCTTCAGCTGTGTATTTAGGGGCATGGCATCCACGCTCACAGCCCTACGATGCAGGACAGCTGAGCGCAATTCTCCCTCCAACACTGAACTCTCTTCCAAATGTCAGAACAACTTCCTAAGAAAATCATTGAACATTGTAAGCATAACACAAAAGTTATCCTGCAAGGACTGGAAATCCATGCTTATTGGTCGCTCTGCGCACCTTATAATACCCAACTTGATGGCATAATCAAACTCCATCAGCCACGTCTGAAGTTGGGAGGGAATCTTCTGACCTACCCTCTCCTCCCTGTGTTCAACTACACACCAAGGCTCATCTATTCTGTTTTCCCGATCTCTCTACCATCCAATTCCTCACTGCCTTTCCGACCCATCCCCTAGTTCAGACTACAAAAATCTCTCTCTACCCTTAAGCCTTTTCTCTAGTCTTTCTTCTTCTACTGCCCTGGCTTGGATCCCTACTGCCCTGCTGTAGAGGGTAGTATTCAAAGTATGTTCCCCTTAGTTAAAAAGACGAGCGAGCCCTACAGTGGAATTCTACTCCTCTTTTCTGAGCCCAGCTCTTCAGACCTGTAAGACTGCTCACTCCACCTTGAGGCACCACGCATGTTTGAGTTCACCTGTGTGCCTTAGTTAATAATGTTTTCTCTTCCTGGAAGGCCCTACCTTTTCCATCAGGACCATCTGAGTTGTAAAGGAGAGAATTTCAGCTCAAATTCATTTCTGTAAAAGAAATTCATTGGTCCACAAAGCCAGTTTCTGAGATGATAACAAGCAATGCCAGGTGTGTTTCTGCTTCCTTTCTCTTCCTTTCTCTACTCTTCACTCTCCCCATCTCCAATCTCTCAAAGCCTAAGTCCACAAGCAAGCGTCCTCCTTGCAGAGAGTAACAGAGATGTGGAAACATGGCCACAGATGGTTCCTAGCTTTCATCATTCAAACTCAGTTGAGACTTTTGCTGAGATTCCAGATGAGAGCTTCTCTCTCGTGGTGACTGCAAAACTAGAGTTTTAG